TGTACGCAGAAACACATTTCCCTCTTCGCCTTACCACCGGTACGGTTGTTTATGTACTCTACCTCCTTTCTTAGCCCTTGGAATCGCCTTGTATTACAGCAGTCAGGGGACAGCTTCTATCGGAATCTGAAATCCTCCTGAACATGAAATCGCTTCTATCTCGCCATATTCACTGAGACCTTCGATAAACACAAAGGTGAATATGAGCGTAAGAACATTCCTACTGCACCAGTTTGTTGATCACAATGTTGAAGCACCATCGTGAAGCTACTCGTGGTATCCGCCATCGGTGGCAACAACGCTGGGACAACAGGGCTGAAAAGGAATTCAGTGCATTAGATGCGTGGGTGACGATCTCAAATGCCGAGGGAAGGCCCTGAGGCTCCGCTCTTCTAATTTCACGCCTGGTATCCATCCTCGGGTAGAGCTCAAACCACAGACTTCAGCTGGAGAGTATGTGGGTACAACCAATGAATCTTTCGAAATATTGTGGACCACAACGGCAATGCCAGCGCGTACGCCCAATAACGGCTTTTATCTAACAACAGATGATACCTTACCTTCTGAAAACAACGGATATCTCGAAGGCGGACGATGAAAGTTTCAATTTGGTATTAGTCTATTTAGTCTTTCGATTGACCTCGAACTGAGAAGCCAACAAATGGACGGGCGCTGGGAGTCTCAGCGGAAAGTCTCAGCCTGAGACTTTCCATATATCAACGTTGCGTTTTCTTAACGATATAGTATTGTTGATATTAGTATTCGGTGTGAGGATAATCCGCGATCGGACTCCGCCTCCCCGTATACTAGACAATAAGACTACTAATCTGAGACTAGTGGTAAGGCTGAACGTAGACTGATTCGCAATCTCACAAACCCAGCCTTCGCTGAGTGGCGGCTCGGTTCTCCAATCCAACACTATCGAGAGTCGTCAACGCCATATTCTCACGCCTCGCGAATCAGAGTTTTGGGCGCGCGCTTTCTACCACGATTACTTGCCAAGATTCAACAGATAGTTGGTCTCTCTGATGAACAATCTCAGTGCAAGCTCGAGTGGAAAGGAGGAGACTGCGAAGGTCTTGTTGATGGGAAGAGCAGGAGCAGGAAAGACCAGCATGCGGTCCATCATTTTCGCAAATTACCTTGGTACTAGGGGAGCCCTTTCCGGGCCTCCAGCGTTGTCGCTTCCTCGTGATGGTTAGCGACGCCTTATTCTGTCTGTGATTTTCAGCTCGGGAGACCACTAGGTTGCATCCGACAAACCAAGTGATAAGGCGTATCTTCTCTCCGTTGTTCTCTAAGGTCGACTTCGTCTTAGGTGGAGCACAGTCATCTGAGGTTCCTCGGCAATATGACCTTGTCCTTGTGGGACTGCGGAGGACAGGACGTCTTCATGGAGAACTACTTCGAGAGCCAGAAGGACCACATTTTCCGCAATGTAGTAGCGACTCTATGGGGAAATTCTCAATTTCAATCTATCCGATGGTCTCGAGGAAACGCCCTTCGACGTAGAACGAGATGGCCCTCGGTCGCGACTTGTAGTTTGGCGTGACAATGGAGTTTCACCCGTTTTACGTGAAGTGGTGTAATACTCGGTGAAAAACGCGATATTCGCGGTATGCAGTAGTCGTGAAATATATTTTTCACTAGTGTTTTTTATATCACTAGGGTGAAACTCCAATGGTGAAGCTTGCCGAGCAGGTGCGTGTGATGATATATGTTGTTGCTCTCGCTGGTAACGACCAAAGAGATGCCGAACAGCAGAAGGAAATCACCTACTTCAAGAACTCTATGGAGTCTCTGCGGTCCCTATCCAAGAGTGCTCATGTACTGCTCCTGTGAGATCATCCTCGGTTCACAACGGTCCAGGTTTACGTCCTTCTCCACAAGTTCGACCTCGTGCCGGAGAACGAGCGGGAGGCTCGCTTCAAATAGTAGTGGTCGTTCAAATATGAGGATCTTCCGCGACTTGGGTTTTGCTGCCATCAGTTACTCCGAGCTGCTCTCGCCGTATTTCGCTGGTATGACCACTCAGATCTTCCAGACCAGCATCTGGGACGAGACACTCTATCGGTGAGTGTGGCGGTGGAGGGAGTGTTATAATTTGTCTGCTACTTAGAGCTTGGTCGGAGATCGCTCATTCGCTGATACCCAACATGGACGAGCTGCAGAGAGAGCTGGCCAATTTCGCAAGTGCTGTGGAGGCTGACGAGGTCGGCGGAGAGTACGCGATGATGAAGCCTATGGGAGTGCCAGGTGGTCTTGTTTGAGAAGTCTACCTTCCTGGTCATTGCCAATCACACCACGAAGCAGATGGCCGACCCGCATCGGTTCGAGAAGATATCAAATATTGTGAAGCAGTTCAAACTGAGCGTCAAGTGAGCCAGCCTTGGAGTTGTCCCAACGCTGGACGTATCTTGACCTCAGCAAGCACCACGCTGC